ATCATTTCTGACCTATCAGATTAGCCTCAGTTACAAAGTTTAAACGTGATGGCAGGGGTATGGGGGAAACAGACGCAAACACACAGCTGCTAGCATACACTAGTGCCTTCTTACTGAGTTGCTAACAGTGATTGAAATTTTAAATTCACATATCCCTTTGCTAGAAATTTACTCAGAGTTTACAAGATGCCATTTACAAACAGGGTCACTGCAGCGCTGACTGCAGTGGCAAAATGCTGGAAACACTGCAAGTGTCCTTGAGCAAGGAAGTGTTGGAAGATATGATGGCATAGTCATGAAATGGAGTATGACGCAGTTTGGGGACAAGAGAGGGGGCTGAGAGGAGTGGAGGGAGAGGCTCACCTGCCACTGGATATCTTTGGGGGCTCTTTGAATACATCTACAACTGAAATTTTTCATTTTATTTATATATTTTTTTACAACTGCAATTATTTTTTTTTTTAAGATTTTATTTATTTATTTGAGAAGGCACAGGCAGGGGAAGCAGCAGGCAGAGGGAGAGGGAGAAGCAGGCTCCCCGCTGAGCAGGGAGCCCTAAGATGTGGGGCTCGATCCCAGGACCCGGGGATCATGACCTGAGCCGAAGGCGGACGCTTAACCGACTGAGCCACCCAGGCGCCCCAACAATTTTTAAAAAATATTTTCTGGATGGCAGATTTCTGGGTCATTTTGGGTTAATCAAAGCAGTCCAGGCCACAGGATTGTGTTCTGGAGAAAGCTAAAACGATGCACCACTCTACATTTAGCAACAGCTATGAAAATGAAAAATTCTGTACCCTCCACTCCAGCAATTCCACTGCTGAGGGTTTACCTCATCACAAACGTACTCAAATACAAGGATGCTTACCCCAGCACTGCTGGAAATAGCAAAAACTAGAACAACATGTAAACGTCCACAGAGAGAAGACTTGGTTACATAACTCATGGTGCGGCCACCTTACTGAGGAAGACCTTCGTGTGTGAGAATGGGAAGGGGTCCAAAACAGACTCATAAGTGGAAAAAAAAAAAAAAAAAAAACAAAGTACAGTATGATCTCAAATTCTATAAATTTTTTAAAAGACATGCTTACATAGCTCCTGGAAGGATACTTAAAACAGTAATAGCAGTTAGGATTGGTGAGGGAACTTCACTTTACAGGATTCTGAATTTACAACTGTTACTTTTTTTTTTTTTAAATAAAATTTTTCTACAAACCTAATGATGCAGTAGTCTGAATTCTTTATGAGAACAAGAAAGGCTACACTCACTTCAGCTTCTTTCTTATTCATCCCCTGGGCAAGGAGTAAACAGATAATAAAAGGGCACCTGGGGAAGCTACAGGAGAGGAAGAGATCAAGGGCCTGCATGAGCCAGCAGGTCCTGGCCCTCACTCCCTCGGGCCAGGCCGGCCTGCCGGGACAGCATCCTCACTGGTTTCCCCACCCGTGGGCAGAGATGCTACCACCATCTCAAGCACAAATCTGACTGAGGCCCAGTGGCTGGAAGGTCTCACTAGCTCCCCACTCCTCAGAAGCCAGAATCTCGCTCCCTGCGGGGGATGTGCTGTCCTCTGTATGCCAGCTCTCTCGCCAGTTCTCCCTTACTACCTTGCATTTATGCCCCAGCCCCACCAACCTGCGAGCTGGCTGCACGAGTTTGATGCTGTTTCTTGGCATCATGTCCTTGCCCATGCTCTTCCTACACCACTCCTCCTGCCATTTGGCATCAACCCTTAACAAGCCTTCTGACTCCTCCAGGCTTCCCCGGGGCCCCCTCTCTCGTCGCCATTCCTACCCCAGTCTGTCTCCTTCCCTCGGTAGCCTATAAACCCAAATACATACCTACACATATTTGAAAATCACATCCTAGCTTTTTTTCATGGTGATAGCATCTTTCCTTCTCTGGGTGACAGATTCCTCCAAGTTTGCGAGGGTTTTTCTTTCACATGCTTAGTGACCCTGGCTGCCCAGTCATAGAGTTAAGTGTAAAATACTATTTGGCTTATGTGCGTAATTCACTGCTTTCACCATACTAAATGAAAGAAGAGAAAGATGTGATCCCCTGATAAAGGAAATGTTCATTATTTTGACTTGGATCAGATGTGGAGGAGGAAGCCGAATGCCAAGAGGAAACGTAAATACTTTATATTCTGTTAGTAAAAAGCAAGGTATAAATAAAGAATGGAGAATATTAATAAAAAAACTGTAAAACACTAAAAGAGCTTAGTGGAAACTCTTTTTTTTTTTTTTGGTGAAGATTTTATTATTTGAGAGAGAGAGAGGAGGAGTGGCAGAGGGAGAGGGGGCGAGAATCCCAAGCAGACCCTGCTCTCAGTACGGAGCCCAACCTCATGACCCTGAGATCACGACCTGAGCTGAAACCAAGAGTCGCACGCTTAACTGACTGAGCCCCCCAGGTGCCCTCAACCCCCCTTAACGGAAACTCTTAATGATGCTTCTTTACTTTCTTAGGATGAACTAAGTTCTTTCTTGGGGAGCCCCCAGTGTCTTCTCTTTTGAGCTCATCACACACCCCAGAGAAGGTATCTCTGTCTCCTTGGCTGCCAGTCTAGAAGCCAGGTTGGGGAAGGAGGCTAGGGTTGGGTCTCAGCGTTCAGTTTGTGAAGTTTCTCTTAATCCCTCTTTCCAGTATGGCTCCCTTTCTCCAATTCCTGCCATGTGCCTGGTGTTCTCCAGTCCAGAAACTCTCTGCCTTATCTTTAAAAATAAATCTTGGGAGAATAATCCTTTAATTGTCTGCCAAGATGGAAGGACAGTCACCCATCTGCTTGGAGTGGGGAAGAGGACTGTGGGATCTGATTCTTAAACAGACTTTAAGTAATCCTTATTTTAGTCCCACCTCACCTCTATTTCCAGAAGTCCCTGGCACTGTCAATTCCTGAGATCTGAGGGGAAGCCATGGTCAAAGGCAGCTGCTTCTGGATGCTTCTTCGGGCTGAGAGATGGATTCGCCTTCGGCCATCTGCTTTGTGACAATTATCTCCTCTCCTTTCTGGTTTTATGCTTTAAAAAAACACTCTGCACTGTCCTTTCAGAGGGTACAGAAATAAACACATGTGATCAACCCACCACCTTTCACAGAAGGCTGCTCTTGAGAATACCCTACAGCAATCTTATGATTTAAATACTGTTACTCCATTTCACAATTGAAAAGAGACTCAGAGAAGCTCGGTCGTTTGACCAAGATCACTTAACCCATACACTATAAAGCTGTAATTTGAACCCACTCTTTGAGGTCCACTGCTGTTATTCACGTATTAGAAATAAGAAATTAGGGCCTAGAAAGGTTACATAATTTACTAAGATTACAAGACAAGCAAATATCAGTATGTGGATTTGAAACCAGGACTACCTGACTTCAAAGCCCATGTTCTTTGTAGTGTACCTTACTGCTCCATGTTTAAGGCCAGCCCAACCCAGCTGCTCTACTGGGGTGCAAGAATATACTCTCAGGGGGTCCAGGAACTGTCTCTGAGACTGTGTACATTTTATGTTTTCATTTTTCTGTATTTTTCTTAAAACCAGTATATTTGGGTTAATTTGGATAACCCATTTATAATCCAGCACTGCCCTGGGATTTTGGGGTCTGCATTTGTGTTCGTTTGCTATCTCACTGCTGCCTAGAAGTGTTACTTGATGATCACAGGATAATGAGAACAGAACAGAGTCTGCCTTACCCTATTAAACAGTATGTTCCCACCAAGTGAAGCCAAATGAAGGCAGGGTCTAATGTGAGAACAAAGGCTTCACAGTTGTTTAAAAAGTGGTGGAAGCATGAGGTCATCCCACAGCAAGTGAATCTAGTCTGGCTAAACTCAAAAGAAGCTGGGCCACTAACAAAGACTTTCACGTTGTGGGTAGCAAGTTCATTTCAGCAAAACACCCAAGAGCACATTAATGCTCAGCTGAATGTTACTGTAAGAGTGAGTTTAATTTACTTTGTTTTGGTTTTTAATGGTTGAATAAGTTATAAGCCTAGTTTACCCCTGTAAATGTGGATATAAATAACATAACAGCACAAATGATTGAGGCAAACGTGGGGATCAAGGAGACTTTTGGTTGTACTATTTTTTCTTTTTCTTTTACAGGGTCAGTTTGAAAACTCAGGCTAGTCAAGAAGATTGGCCAAAAGAATGACAAATCCAGCCGCCTGGGTGGCTCAGTGTGTTGAGTGCATGGGACTCTTGATTTCCGCTCAGGTTGTGATCTCAGGGTCATGGGATCCAGCCCCGCCACAGGCTCTGTGCTCAGCAGGGAGTTGGCTTCAGATTCTCTCTCCCTCTGCCCCTCCCTCCTGCTCCCAGCACCGCGCTCTCTCAAATGAATAAGTAAATCTTTTTAAAAAGAATGAGAAATCACCCTGTTTGGTACTGCCCAAGAACATGCTACTGCAGGGCAACTTGTATCTTTGTTTCTTTTAATATTTCCTATCATCAATCCTCCAATCTCTTTGAATTATGGGTAATTCCCAAACCTGTCTTTTTTCCCTTCAAACTGGTGAGCGATGTGGGGTTGAGAAGTTGGCCCTTTTTACTGTGTACATCCCACAGCACTTAGCAGTGTGCCACACAGGGAAGATGATCCATATCTGTGGGATATGTTGAAAAGACAGAATCCAAGTGTTACTCCTCTATGACAGGTGAGAAAACTGAGGCTCAGAGACGCTTGACTTGCTCCAGATCACTAAGATGCAAACTTGAGTAGTCTGACTGCAGAGCCCGTGCGGTCGGTCTCTACTCTGCCTCCATTTTTAAGAATATGGCCTGGCCATCATGAGGTCTGGCAATTCTCTCAGGGCTCAAACGTTTGCTGAACTCACGGTGCGACTAGGTGTGGTCTTGGGAAAGGCCTCCTCCCCCTGGGTCTGTTTCCCCATCGGTAAAACGGGGGTGTACCCGACAGCACTTAGGCCTTTGCAGCTCTGAAACAGACGAGAAGCGGGAGGGCGTGTCGTGGCTGGTCCTCTCTTGGGCTCTTACCATTTGATGATGTTGTGAACCAAAGGTAAAAAGGAGTAATTCTCCTCCTCCTTCACGCCGGCGGGTGACTGAGGCCTCGGCGCCGGCGACTGCTGCGGCTGAGGCGCGGCGACCGGAGGCGGCGGCTGCGAAGGCGGAAGCGGCTTCGTCTCGGGCAGCGGCGGCTCGGCCGGCGGCGGTAACGCATCCTCGGCCTGTCGCCCGGCGGCCACCCCGGCGGAGGCCATGGCGCTCGGGAACGTGCCGGTAAGTCAGCGGGACCCCAGCGCTCAGCTTCTCAAAAGCGTCGCCGACCCCAGACGTCACCACTGTGCGCCGGCTGGGCGGCGAGCCCGGGAGAAAGGTTGTGCGCGTGCGTACTAGGATATGGGGCGGGGCAACGGGGCGGGGCAATTACACAGGGGCGTGGTTGCTGTTACTAGGCAACGGGCGATTGACGGATTTGGTTGTAAATCGAGGCAGCTACATTATTAAATAGTCAGATTCATTGCAGAAACAACATTTTATTCCTATTCACACGACGAAGAGGGTCCAAAAGTAACTAATACAGGAAGGCTGAGATACATAAGGTTCCGCATGGCCCCGCCCTCGGAGAAGGCTTCCCAAAGAACCACCTTGAACCACAAGCAGAGTGAACAACTTACCCAGTACCTGCTTTGTGTAAAGCACTGGGCTCCACGGGCATTAAGAATCCAGAGGTGGAGGACCTACAGCTCCTCCACCATGCAGCTGCCTCCAGGAGGACAGGCAGCAAACCCTGAGCCAGTCTTAGTGTGAGACCTTGTCAGCCCAGCGAGTGCAGAGACAAAGAAATTGAGTCTCTAAAAGCGCCGCATGTAGATGGGAGGGACTAATAATTCGACATTTAATATGCATCTTCTGGATGACAGGTGCACTGTTAAATGTGGGGGTAGGGGGTGGGAAGGCCGTCCTGACTTCAATACTAGGCAGAAGGGGATTGACTAGTTCGAGGAATAAATATATCCTACAGGAAAGTCAACGGTCAGGTACTCTCCATATCTGCCGGCCAGTTCCTTGAGCACCTTGGTCTCAGTTTCCTTAACTGTAAAATCTTTAGTCCAGGGTCATGGCAGAGCCTAAACTGCTTTCTAACTTCAGATACGTGACTGACCTCCAAAGGTCTGGTTTGCCCCTAGGATCCTAGGCCAAAAACCTGGTGGTTTTGTAATTATATTTCTCAAAACAAGTGTGATATGGGAGTTGCATAATAAAATTCTGGGCAATGCGACACCCATCCTAAGCTTAGCTAGTGAGTGGGAGAGGACATGAGCTAGGAATGTCCCAACCTTCCAAAGTCTACCGTCAAGGGTCTCAAAGAGAGGCAAGGAGGCCCATATTCAGGCAGCAAGATGAGCCGGAGCACAAAAGAGCAAGGTGGCTGATTGCAAGGAAAGCATCGATGCTACTGTTTTCAGATGCATCAGGAGAGGTTTATGGAGGCAGACCCTAGGGAAGCCAGACTGTAGAAGGAGGTAGGAAGTTGGAGACTATGCTAGTAGAGGCTCTTTAGTGATGGGCTTTAACACAGCCTTCTTCAGCAGGAACTGCCCAGAGCACCCCCGGGGGTGGGGGAGAGCAAGGGGAGGGAGAGGCTGCAGGGTTTTCTTCTTGTTACCCATGGACCTCTCCACTTCAGGGAAGAGTTTTAAGAGTCCTGGTAGAGAGCAGAGGAGAAAGCCTGTTGGGATCAGACCTGGGATGCTTGAAGAGGTTACCCCCTTGGAGCCATCTGGGGAAATATTGATGGTGCAAGAATTAATAGTAATCACCACAACCGCTGTGGAATAAAAGGAGGTACCAGGAAGAGTGACAATCGTTATCACATTTAATCCACAAAAGAGGTCGAGAAGGCAGATGCTAGTATCTTCGTTTCTTGGATGAGGAAACGGAGGCTTATGCTGGTTAAGGTACTGGCCCCAGGGTCACACAGCTTGCCTGACGCCAAATCTACGGTCTTAACCGACACCTAGGAGACCTCGGGTCTCTGCTGGTTCTGTAACTTTATGATTCAAAATGTTAAAGGGAGGTTTTTATTCAGAATTCGAAAAGCAGTCTGACACTCATCAATAATATCCCCATGGCAATTACCCATCATCTTTTCCCTCCCGGTGTGTTTTATAACTTAATTACAAGTCTCAGCGTTATCGATGGCAGAATAATGAGGACATCTCTTTTTAAAAAATGAAAAAGCGCTTCAGGTATAAATAGCTGTGGCTTAAGAAAACAAATCGAAAGTGTAGGAAGCATGAACAAGTAGGTGCATTGACAGTTGGCCCTAAAAGTGGTTAATACGTTTAGTGGCACAGAGTGAAGCTGACTTCATAACATTGCAGGCAGATGTCAGAAAAATTGCCCCAATAAGAGTGTGCTTGGTTGTAACTGCTCTGTTCAGAGTCCAAAAAGGCAGATGCTCCACTGATAGATAAGGACTGTATTTTGTGAGGGACGTCACCAAGTTAAGCCACTGGGTCATTGCTTTCTTGTGCAGATTTACACTGTTTCTGGAAGTTCAGCCAGCCCACCTGCCTCCAGGCCCAGCTCAACCTCACTTTGTGCAGCCATGCAACCTCCTAGGAAGACTGAATGGTTATGCTATTTTCAATTTTGTAGTAGCCACGTTAAAACAAAAACAAAAACAAAAAGAAGCAGGTGAAATGAATTTCAATAATATATTTTATTTCACTCAGTATCTCCAGAATATGATCATTTCGACTTGTGATCAATATTAAAAAGTATTAGAGGTGTTTTACTGTTTTTCATCCTGTCTTTGAAATCCACTATGCATTTTACACTGAGAATGGCCACATTTCAAGTGCTCATCGCCATATGTGGACAGCAGCTGCAGAACTGGATGGTGCAGACCAAGAGATCAATACGTATCAACGTAGACGGCTCATAATCATAATGGTGGGAGGAAAACAGCAAGTTGTCCAAAGGAAACAGAGTATATTACTCTTTATAAATGTTTGAAATGTGAAAACAAACACTATGCATTGTCCATAAATACCAGACACATAAGTAAAAGTAGTTTTAAAAAATTTTTTTAAGATTTTATTTTATTTTTTTTTAAAGATTTTATTTATTTATTTGACAGAGAGAAACAGCAAGAGAGGGAACACAAGCAGGGGGAGCGGGAGAAGGAGAAGCAGGCTTCCCGCAGAGCAGGGAGCCCGATGCGGGGCTCGATCCCAGGACCCTGGGATCATGACCTGAGCCGAAGGTCATAACAGACTGAGCCACCCAGGTACCCCGTAAAAGTATTTTCAAAGGAGCTAAAGACTATACGTCACGTGTATGGGATGGGGGATGGGCATGTAACAGTAACTTTCTCTGTAGTGTTATATTTCTTTTATATAAGAGGATTTAAAGTGAATAGAAGTATGAACAATTGCCAAATATAGGAGTGGACACATGGGAGTTTGGTATATTAGAATCCCAGCTCTGCTTCTTTCTGGCTGTGTGAACTTGGACAAGTCATGTCACTTCCCTGTGCCTCAGTTTCCTTATCTGCAAAATGGAATCATAACAGGACCTACTTAATAGGGCTAGTATAAGGGTTACTGGTATGAATGTATGTAAAGAGCTGTTTGAAGTAGCACATAGTAAGTACTATTAAGTTTTAGCTAGAACTGCTACTGCTCTTTAAATTTTTCAAAAAAAACCCCTTATCATTATTTCTTATAATAATCACCACAAACTGTTACCACAAGAAAAAATACAAAAACCAGGCTGCAGCCAAGAAGGGCACTTTGAGATGCTCTAAGTGGACCTACGCCACAAATACCTATGAATGTCCTTGTGATACGTTCCTTCTATGTGAAGTCCAAAAATAGTCATTCCTTTGTCAGACAGACATCATGGGAATTGTTAAACCGATCATGCCATTGAATGATTGAGGGCTTTTTCATCAAAGCTATATTCTTACATATGATTCATCCTATTCTCTCATTGCCTGGAGCCTCGGGCAGGTTGGAAAAGCTACATGATACTTTGAATTTGTGAGTTAAAAAAAAAAACAAAACAGGCAGCAAAATCATTGCTCAGGCCAAACGTAGTGTAGCATACAGAGGGAAGAGACTCCTTCAAGCCACAATTCACTGCTTAAAAGGCAGGACAAAAGCCTTTTCCTCGGGTCGTCCTGCAGATGGCCTTTCTTCCCTCTCTGAATGGAATGTGATTCTTTTCTTTGTATTCCTTCCAACCACGCTCTCCTTTACTCTGAGACACTCCATGATGCTCAGTTTCTCAAATCACTTATGGTAGTGGTTTCATTTCTTGGAAGCACTCATTTGGGGGCATTCCCACACACCAACCTGACTGTATTTCGTTCAGACTCAGAATTTTCTCTGTAAGACATTCCCTTTAGTCTTTATTCCTTCTTCTTAGTTTTCGTCAGACTGCCACCAGCTTTTGATAGAATAAAAATGAGAGGCAATCCATTCCCAGAACCCGTTTTTGTTTAAAATGGTCATTACTGTTCTGATACCCCCTATTCTTTCCAATCTCTTTACTAAGTCATTCTCTGATTATTTGTTAGCCAAGGGGGTTTTTGGTTTTTCGGTTTGTTTTTTTTCCCCTATCAGCCAACTGCTTCTGCATAGCCTCAACTTTAACCCCCTCTGTTAATCTTTTTTTTTTAAATGTCCTTTTTCTCATGATGGCCTTTCTGGTTTTTCCTCACTCTTCCTTCTTTCTTTTTTCTTTTTTTCCTAGAAGTTACTTTGTTTCGCTCATTGGATTTGCTGTCAGTCTTTTGCCTCTTGGTTACTAACCCCAGTTGCAAAAGTATAGTTAAAAATTATCCTGCAGCTGGAATGCTGAGGAGGATAAGATGTGTGGCTGGTCTTCATAGTCTGGTCCCGTGGCTGGGTTTCCAGACCTCCTGGCAGGGGAGGAGATAGTCTGTAACTACAGACATTTGGAACACCCTCAAACTACAGACTGCAACAAGTTCCAAGCTGAAAAATGCTTCGAAGAAGCATTGAGAGGGAACAGGATTCGTCCCCTTGTCCTTCACCCTCTACTTACAACGTGACTTTGAAAATATGGTTCTGTGAGCCGTGGACATTTCCTGCCAGGTCTTTGGCTCAAACAAACTGTGCGATCCTGGGAGTTGTCAGGAAACAGCCGTGGCCTGTCCATGTGCTATGTTTTGGGCATCAGCTTTGTGCCGAGGGCTGTGCCAGGATGCATGAGACAGATGGGAGGCAAGAGAAGGCTCCAGGCCAAACCACAGGGGGAACAGTCGTGTCAGCTCAGAGCTAGAAGGGTCCTGGAGCT